GATTGATGCATTCTTAGAGTCTAACAAATATTGTTTAATGTCCAATATGTCACCACATAACAAGGTAAAAACTGATTATAATAATTTAATTGTTTTAAAATTTGATTTGGCCATAAGGTCTCTGCAATGTACAACTCCAAGGAATGTCTTCACACTGGAGTCCATATAAATACTCTCTACTATAAAACTGCAGGTGAATTTCTGGATCTCAATATATTCTTTCCACTCTCTAATGGTGTCCTTAGAGGTGTACAATACAGAAGCCCTGTTTGTCTGCAAGATTAAGGAACCTCGATTAAATGTTGCTTATATGTGATCTGGATCCATTTTCATAAAACCAAGTGAAAAGCTGGTAGGGTTCCCTTAAGGTCATCAGAGACAAAAATTCCCTCCATCTTTTTGTTTTGCCCTCCTTAACACATGGCATTGACCTTATGGTCCAGACATCTTGATCACATTCCAACAAACAGGAAGAAAAAATTGGAGAAGAAGCTTAAGTTTTTCTTTTTAACGACATTTTCTAGATATTGCATACAGTAATTTTACTTAAATCCCATTGGCAAAAGTTTAATCACAAGGCCACATGGGATGCAAAGGAAATTGGGAAATAGTCTCACTATTCTGGGTGACCATCCAGAATGGTAACATTTCAAGTATTAGTAAATTGTAAGACACTATTACAAACAAAAGGACATTGTTTAAAAAGGAGTTAACAAATAGGTCGGTCCTATCTGTTGGGGCACATAGCAATTTACTTAATCTAGTCCCCCAAGGGAAACGTGCTACCTTTATTATAAAGCTTAATGAGTAGAATGGGGATAAAAGTGTATCTGCAAAGATAGGTCTTCCTCAAATAATACGAAAATCTGCTTTGCTAATAATGTACAGTCAAAATTTATACCAGATACCTATTTTATTACTATCATTACTTTTTAAATCATAGTTACTGTATTCATTTTCAATTACTTCTGTAACAAATTATCACAAAATTAATGGGTCAAAACAACACAAAGTTTCTGTGGATCTCATTCCTGGACTTACGGTCTCTTCATTTTCAAAGCTGCAGTGGCAGCTTGAGTTCTTCTCTTCTCATCACTTTTCACCTTCTGCTTCTTTCTTAAACTTTTAAAGACCCTTATGATTACTTTCAGATTACAGGAATAATTCAGGAGAACACTCTTTTTTTTTTTTTAATATTGTTTTTCCACGTTTTTATTTATTTTTGGGACAGAGAGAGACAGAGCATGAACGGGGGAGGGGCAGAGAGAGAGGGAGACACAGAATCGGAAACAGGCTCCAGGCTCCGAGCCATCAGCCCAGAGCCTGACGCGGGGCTCGAACTCACGGACCGCGAGATCGTGACCTGGCTGAAGTCGGACGCTTAACCGACTGCGCCACCCAGGCACCCCGAGGAGAACACTCTTTTTTAAAGATCTGTGCCATATCAGATAAGCAACCTTAATAAATCTGCAATCTTAATCCTAATTTCCTTTAAGGTAACATATTTACAGGTTGCTAGGATTAGAAGTGGCTATCATTGAGGACACTATTTAATTTATCACAGTTATATAAGATATTTCTCAATTTTTACATTTTAAAAGTTTAATATACTTTGGTCTCAGTATACTGCTAAGTTGCTAAGTGACTAAGTAAGGAGGCATCTGGCTATATTATTGAAGTATATGGTAGAGATAAAATCACCTCACATTGACTTGGTCCCAGATTTCTTCGTGGTTATTATGCTCTGTCTCACTAATTTGGGACAGAAGGGTTGGACATGATTGTCATGGGCAAATAGAAATTAGTCCTAATTTCTCCATAGGCCTTGTCAAACTTAGTCTAGATCACATATTAGATTATTATTTTTTTACAAATGAAGACAAAATATTTCAATATGTTCATCCTTCCTGTGTAGCAGAATCTGATTGCCAAAAAGTCACTTTTGTGTTCTCAAATAAAAAAGAACCAATTGTGGTTTGGGTGGTGGGGTAAAGAATTGGCTTACGTGGTCATGAAGATTGGCAAGTCTGAAATTAGCAAGGGAGGCAGTCAAGAGTTGATGCAGCAATGTTGAGTCCAAAGGCATTCTGGAGAGAATTTCTTCCTCTTTATTGGACCGCAGTCTTTTCTCTTAAGGAGGTGAACTGATTGGATGAGGTCCACCAATATTATCCAGCATAATCTCAAAGTTTACTGATTCAAATGTTAATTTGAATCTTCACAGAAGATCTAGACTGTTGTTTAACCAAAATCTGGGCACTATAACCTAGCCATGTTGATACATAATATTAATCATCACAGTAAGGGATACTAGGGAGATAAAAAATGAGTATGCTCATCAGAACACAGAATGGTGGAGGCACCAGAAGGACATCCGACATGCCCTTCATGGTATAAAAAATATTTAAAGCATAAAACCTCTGCTATTCAGAGCTTGTATTTCACAAATGGATAGCCTCCAGGGGATAAATAATTCTTACCAAAAATCCATCTATTCATCCGATCATCTGACAGATAATTAAGTGCCTTCTATTATGCTAGGTTGTACACATAAATCAATAATGGGACAAAATGCCTGCTTGCATGGAGCTTACCTTCTTGTAATGCAGTGAGACAGTTCACTTCCTGGTTTATCCATCCTAGAGCAAACCTCCAGGATTCAAACATTCAAATTCATCTCAGCAGTTCCTCTCAGTCACACTCCAGGGTATTACTTTAACAGGATCTAAATCTCCACATTTTAATGACAGCTCAAGCAATTAACATCTCCTAAAGGGAATCTAAATGCAAACAGCTTATGCAAAGCAATATCCCTGAAGGGGACTTTAAGCACCTAACCCCTAAGGAACAACTTATGCAAGCAAGTATCAGTTGAAGTAGTTTACCCTTAATAAATATTTATTCAAACTAATGCCCTCGAGCGAATTCTAAAGTTTAGTTGCTATACTGTGGGGCGCCCACACGCGGACACACTCATACATACACACACTCATGCATACACAAATAAATGGATATCTTAAATTCTCTTCAAATAGGATGGAAAGAACAGGATGAAAAATAAGTAAAAGTTCAGAACTTGAACAACTAGACTATTAAAAACATGCATAAGAAGGTATTCCTCCACATTTATTTTTAGATGGTTAAATACAGATTTTTAAATACACACACACACACACACACACACACACACACACACACACTTTTTTTCACGTGGTACATGGTAACACACAACGACGTGAATGTACTCCTTACCAAAGTATATATTTGGCTTGATCAGTGAGTGCTCAATGCTTGCTTCAGCTCATTGGAAATGTGGATAAAAACTAGATAAAAGCATTAATTCACCAAAATTGTTTTATGGGATTTAACATATAAATACAAGTTGATAATGTGATGTGATTATGCAGGTAAATGTTAGAAGTTAAAATTGGTGGTTGCTATCTGTTCTTTAGTTATTTTTTTCAAAATGGAAATGGAAAATTGAAGATACACACAAATGCAAAGGTGGAAGTTAAGCACAGATAGGACTTAAAAATTACAAAGAATGTGTTTTCAATTTGGTATCTGAGTATAGGTTTGAAAAAATCCTGAGAGTTCCAGCACTTAATATATGTGAAATAACATCATAATGAGCCAAAATTGACCCTTAAGTAATATTAACTTTAACTTCATAGTAAAGAAATAACAGACTACAAACAATTGTATTAGAATTGACTGCTACAATTTTTAAATGCTTATTTAAATTATTAATTTTGACAAGGCAATCTATTAATATGAAAGAATTGGATTGTTGTGTGTTGAATGCCTAACCCAAAAAATCTAGGAATTTCTGTATTTTTATTAATTTTCACATTGAATGTTAGTAATTCTCATTTCCATTTTTGAGGAATATGTATTGAAATTCGAAGATATGAGGTCATACACTTTGTTACTAATAGAAACCAAGATTATTCTTCAAAGTCTGCACTTTGCACAATGTCACAATGTATGGAACATATTGGTGTACAGTCTTTTACTATAGAGATAACACTTGAGATAAATAATGAATGTGGGAATCCTTCCACACATAGGGCCCTTGAGCAGATATAACAAAAACCAAGTTGCTCTGAGTTGGTTGTTATTTTTTTTAACTTAGATTTGAATACTGTTCTCATCATTTCTAGACTCACTTTACTCCCTGGGTTCCAGTTCTCTACATGCCTTTATCACAGCAATCCCCACTTTATTCTAGTAACCTTTGAGAAAAAAAACCTCTTATACAATGCTATTCCATTCTCCTCCTGTAGCTCATTTTTTCTATGACTTCCACAGCATAAAACCTGAAATAAATGATACTTATCAGAAATGACTAGAAGATCAGATATCATTCTAACTAAATACCTATTTCTTTTTTAGGAATATGTGATTTTTTTAATGTTTATTTATTTTGAGAGAAGTGAGAGATACAGCACAGGGAAAAGGCAGAGAGAGAGAGAGAGAGGGAGAGAGAGAGAGAATCCCAACGAGGCTGAGTACTGACAACATAGAGCCCCACTCGGGACTGGATCTCAGGAACTATTGTTACAGAACCAGACTGGAATGCTGACAGAAAACTAAGCAGTCCTTGGACATCTTGGTGGATTGGAGATTTATTTAACATCAGCAGGCTCAGAGAAGACCGTTTCTCCAAAGATCTGAGCTCCAAATGCAAGTGGGAAGGGTAATTTACAGTGTCATCTTCCACATTCCTGGCGGCTTTCATGCATGTGGCAAACAGGGCAGGAAGAACCCGGAAGAGTAGTCTCTAAGCTAGGAACTGGAGCTTGTTTTAGTCCCGTTGACCATCTTATGGTGTAAAACTTTATTCATTTTCCCAACATACCCCACTTTGATGCCTTTTTAAAAAATCTCTTATTAGGCATTACTTTTTAGCTCTAGGGGTTCATACCCTTGGAAGGCTAAGATACATGCTACAGTTTGTCAAGCAACAGTGTTTTCAATAAAACGTACTAGGGTATTTAGTATACGGGGGCCGATGGTCACAAGTAAAACTATGGAAAGGAGGGGCCCTGCCAGGGAAGGCAGCCAGGATGCCCAGTCTGTGAGATCCCATCCTCTCCGTTGACTGATATTTTCTTGTTGTCTATGTTGAATTCTTTCCTTGAGTTCCTTAACGTTAGTCATGACTATTCCTGACTGGTTTACAAAATAGCAACATTCCTCCTCCAGAAAGATACAAGTCCCCCCTTTTTGAAGTGACGAGGTCAAGGGCTTTCTTATTTTGGAGGGACACTGCTGCCAGGGAGTTTATCTGGCTTTGTAAGGTTACCAGGGAGCCCACCACCCATTCCATTTCTTCATTTAGTTCTCAAGATAGTTTGTGGTATAGCCCTACGGATGAACCTATGCCTCCTATTCCAGTTCCTATTCCCATTGCAATTCCTGCTCCTATCAGGACGGGTAGCAGGACTGCCCATTTAGCCCGGGACTTGGGGCTAAAGGCTGTTAGGAACTGATCCTCAGTGTATACAGATATTTCCAGAATTAGGACGATGGAATAGCACATCTGAGTCCATTTGGCATCCAAGCATCGGTAGACCGAATTGGAGCACAGAGAGAATACCCCAGGGGTTGAACATAGGTTTGTATTCCTTTTCAAGGTTTTATTTCTCTCACATAGGGAGGTGCTGTCCATACCATCAGGGACCATACAAGTTAGATTGTCGGCATTGGTGAGATGGACCCCAGTGGCCAAGGGTCCAATCAAGACAGTGGTGTTGGTTGTGATGTTTTCAGGAGCTTCTCAGGCCAAGGAGATGGGAGTGGCTAAGTAAACCCTCGGGCTGAGACGCAAGCACATCCAACAGGTTTGGGTGTGGTTATCCACTTTGTGGAGGACTTGTAGGGTGGTGTTGCCCCAGCCTTGGAGCAGGGAAATGGTGAGCATTTGATTAATGGCTGAAAGGTTCAAACCCTGTTAGGATGCCAGGGGAGTGGTTGCCTTTATGGCTTATATTAGCCTGGTCTGGGTATCCTTTCTGACTTTTTGAAGGGCCTTGTCTTGCACCCCTCCGTCTGATGTCCCTTGTTGGGGAAGTTATGTACACTAGACTCACTTTCTTTTCTGGAGGCTTTGTTTGTTACATGGGCTCCTGCTATTTTGAGTTATTTCTACAGTCCAAAACTTATGTGGTTGGTCATCTGGCTATTAGCAGAGGGTGAGTGTCTTTCCCTTTAAGAATCTTTGTGGAGTGAGGTGAGGGAGCTGAACACCCTTGCATTCCTGATACCATGGGATACTGTCCTTATTGTCTTATAACAATCCTGGGGGCAAGGTGGGTATGTGGCAGTTGTGAGGGTGAGAGAGGTTAACATAACATACAGGCAATACTTAATAGTCCTCCCATCCAGAGGAGGTGTGTGAGACCCAGCATGAATCTTTTGTCCCATGTCCAATTTGTGGGTGCAGTCTCTATTAGCCCAACAGCAAGAAGCAAGTAAGGGGCAGGGACTGGCAGAGTTGCATCTGAACCACTGGGCTCGGTCCGCAAGTTGATTCCACAAGCTTCTGCCTTGCTCAGGCCAGCCAACTTCTGGGGTGTGGCTGGAGCAGGGCTGGAGATCTCAGGGGCCAATGTCTTTTTTGAGGGTCAGTTTAAGTGGGTTGACTGGCTCTGGATCACTTCGCCAGGTTGAGGGTTCCTCTGAGTTGGCCTTCTTAACTCTGGAATGAAGGACCCATGGGGTGATACCTGAAACTTTAAGGATTGTAGGAGTTGTTAGAATAACAGTATAGGGCCCAGACCACAGTGGTTTAAGAGGTTTCCTCTTCTAATCTTTGACCCATATGGAATCTCCTGGCAAAAACGGATGAATGGGGGTCCCTAAAGAAATCGGGGCCCTCTCTGTGGTGTATCTTTGTAACTTATTTAGGACTGCCCCCAAGGCCTGAAGCTGTTCCCCTTATTTCCATATCTCCAATTTGGTGTAGATCTCCTGGGAGTTTTCCTAAGCATGGGGGAGGCCACCCATATAGTAACTCGAAGGGGAAGAATCCTTCTTATGTTGTTTTATTTTTTAGTTGTTTTAAGAATTATTTTCTCCTAGTTAATATTATTAACCAGTTTGGTTTTAGTTTATTGGAAGCAGTCATGTGTTAATGAAAAATTTGTTAGGTTGAGGACTTCCATCAATCTGTTACAACTTGGCCTAATTTGGCATCTTCGTTTCGGTAATCTGGCTAGTGAACTAGAATATAATTTTACCATCATACTTATATGATATATAGTTCAAAATTTCCAGGGGCGCCTGGGTGGCGCAGTCGGTTAAGCGTCCGACTTCAGCCAGGTCACGATCTCGCGGTCCGTGAGTTCGAGCCCCACGTCAGTCTCTGGGCTGATGGCTCAGAGCCTGGAGCCTGTTTCCGATTCTGTGTCTCCCTCTCTCTCTGCCCCTCCCCCGTTCATGCTCTGTCTCTCTCTGTCCCAAAAATAAATAAAACGTTGGAAAAAAAAAATTTTCCAGTAACTTAATTCTGTACTCGAGTATATCTTTATAGTTTTATAGTACACACTTCAATCCATTTATTTTCTTTGTAGGTTTCTACCATTTATTCTAACCTTTCTCAATTGACTTATAATATCTACTACTAAAGCCAGTTTTTGATTAAGGAAAACTGATATCCGTATTTGTTAAAATATTATTTCTTCTCTCCCCTACTCTGTTCTCCCTAAAACATGTGGGCTCTTCATCAATCAGATGAATGCATCAACTTTCTACTTGGCTATAAGATAGATAAGACTTTCAAGTGAGTTTCATATGATCCTTTCAAGAAGTTTCATTATCTTTCAAGAAGTCCCACAAAAACACCTAGCAAATCATGCATTCTCAGCTCTATTCCTTAAAGTATAGATATTGTGTAATGTCGATTGCTGATTGATTAAAAAAAAAAAGAACAGAAAATCCAGACACTTCCAATTTATTTTTTTAAAGAACTCTTAAAAAGAGAATGAAATAAGATAAAGTATGTGCATTTTTTACCAGTATTTCACATATGTGAAAGATCTATAATTCACAAATGCCACAATTTTAAGTGAGTTATATGCAGGTGCATTCCATGATTGAAGTAAGGCAGAAAGCTCTCAGCATTTTGAAAGGATTTATTTTTGTCCTCTACACTTTAACTCTGTTTCAATTCATTCCCAACTATATTTTCCTCGAGTTATTTACTTATTGATTTGGACTGAGTGTTTTGTTGGCAGGATGAACTGTATGAGGAAAAGGAATTCATACACTGTACCAGAATTTGGCACAATATTTTTCTCTTTTGTATTGCTAACCGAATATAACATTGGATCAGAACTTGACTCCTAGTGGAATTAAAATAATAAGACTAGACCTCTAGTCATCAAATCCAGTGACATATAAACCATCCCATTACATAGTTTGTTGATTTTAAAGAACAAAACATTACAGCCCAGCCACTCTTCCCACTCTCTGGTGCTTTATCAGAACTTCTATGGTGAACACATTTTTTTGTTTGTTTGTTTGTAACTTGCTAGACGCAAGCAGTTCTATGCTTTTGACAGTCAACTTGTGTTCTTTTTAATACCTCATTGATTAGAGCTCTTTGTCATCATTACTTCCTGTTTCATTCTGTTCTCTGAATTTTTTATTTAAGACCCATACTTTTAATTTGTGGATTTCAGTATTTCATGGTGTGCCCTTAAGAATATAGCTGACAAAGCAGATGGAGGGATATTGGACATCTAGGAGGACAGATGTATTCAGTAGAATGCCCAGGATGACCACAAGCAACTAATTAGATCTCCTGTGGGGAATGTTATGCCCTTGAAATACTTTTATATCCTTGTTGTTTTAAAATCTTTAGAATAGAACTCTGACCCTTTATTGTGAGAACTAACTTTGAATACATACTCTCTACTTTTGAGAATGTATTTTGCAGAATGGGAGATGAATAGATCAGTCACGTTGAGAAGGATTTAATATCAAGGCTAAGGGTGAACTTTTAATTTATCTTAGTTTATCCTCATTTAATCAATTCAGGGCTATATGACAGCCTAAAGCATTAACTTTTTGAAGGCCAAATGAGTCATCTTGTAATGTCGGTTAAATCATGTTGATTGCTAAGGTCTGCAGGATTTAAAAATGAGTTTACTCTTTGTACACAAGATTTGTTTTACTTCTCTATGTTACTTGAATCTCAAAGGAAATTAAAAATAAAAATAAAATAAAATAAAATATTCCTATTCTATTGCTACATATGAATTTGAATTTTACCCTCTATATCATTGTGTGGCAAAGACACAATGGAAGAACACAATGGAAGACTAGGCATGGCGCAGGGTGGAAGCCATGCTCTCTGATGATTCTTTGTTTTCAATGCGAGAAAGCTGCATCTGGCTTATATTCACTAGTTTATTCTTCCCTGGTTTTCCAATCATATAAATTGTTTCACTTTCTTTGTTATGGAATAAAATGTGGAACAAGGTCATGAGTTTTTTCATTCTTGGATTTCTTTGCATATATAAGAAAATATCAAGAGTAGGTAATTAATTTTCCCCCTAAAAATGGTGTTTCAGGTGCCTAAGAGGAGAGTCAATGTAGGTGTTGGGACAGTCAGGTCTGGCATTGAGATAAGTATGAGCTAGAGCTAAGTAGAAAATAGCAATAAAGATAAAACCACATATGAAGATAGCATAGAATGATGCTAAAGTTAGGAAAATGGATGACATTGGTAATGATAGAACTGTTTAGATGGTTTCAAATTCAATTTTCTGCTTGCACATGCAAGGTTCCAACATAAAGTTTCAATAGAGCATTGCTTTCCCTCACTCCCCTATCCCTCAGCATTCATACTTAAAGAATTGGCCACTGTGGAAAAGTATATGGAGTGAATGATTATATTAAAGGATATTTAATATAGGATATTAAAGGATATTTTATAAGAATTTAAAATATAATTAAATATTGAATTATTATACCATCACAAACTCTAAATTAAGTGAGAATTAGAGTAAGACATCAGAGGGCTCCAGGTACTAGCAATGTCTTGATCCAGGGGGACAAGAATACATAATTTATTATTGTCCCTGGAAGAGGGGAGAATTCATCTTATCTTTCTGCTCTTTTTTTTTACCCAACTCGCGGTGAAATAAATACTCTTAATTGGCTCCCTTAGGCTGCTGGATTTTCAAGCAACATACACCATAAAAATAGAATGGACCAGGAACTGAGTGGGAGTGAAAAAGGATCAACTAATACATTTATGCAGCAATTATGTTCTACAGAATGTTCAATTGTGCACAAATGTGTTAATCTTCAGAAAAAGTTAACAATTTTTATTTCAGCCACTATAATTGGTGATGTAGAGGGAGACTAATCCCCAGAGAGCTGCTTCTTAGGATAGTTGTAATAACTAAATGGGTGAAAATTGATATGCAAGATATCATAGCACTGTGCCTGGCTTAGTTTAATCAACTAATCAGTGTTATTATTATTAATATTATAATTTTAATTATTATTATGATTATGTAATTGTCTTTGAAGTTTTTAATAAAAATTTGCTTCTCTTTCGAAGGGAACTGTAAACTAGTACAAGTAGTTGGGTAACCTGAAATAAACTGGAATCTGAGTAACATTTAGCTCCTTTGGTATCAAATACATGTTAATCAGGGGCAGATATCAAAAGATTCATTTACATCATTTTAATTTATTTTATTTCCTTTTCTCTAAATTTTTTAAAAAAACTATTTTAGAAAGAGAGAGGTAGCATACAGACCAGGGAGAGAGGCTGAGGGAGAAAGAGACAATCCTAAGCAGGCTCCACACTCAGTGTGGAGCCTACTGGGACTCCAGCTCATGACCTTGGGATTATGACCTGAGCCGAAATCAAGAGTCCCATGCTCAGTCAACTGAGCCACCCAGCGCCCCTATTTTATTTCCTTTTCTAACAAAACCAAGCCAAATAAATAATCAAGGTAGACTTTATTCTGTTTGGTTTTGCCTTCCTTTAAGTTGTGTTAAAAGTGAACGTATTTTTTTTAATTTTTAAAGGGAACATATATTTCAAGAATTAAAGAAAGTTACATTAATATATTGATTTGGTGCTTAGAACCATTCTCTATTTCCTTGAGGTTTTGGAAACAAAGTCCAAACTCCTTGGGATAGCAATGTCTGTCATAATCTGTCTCTAGCCTATCTCTCTAAGTCTATTACCTCAAATTTCCAATTCCAGCACAGTATACATACCTTCAAACACAAACATAGTATCTCCTAGTCATACTGAAATTATTGCATTACTCTAAACATGATAAATTATATTTTCCTGATTTTGTACATTGAGTTCATATTCTCAGGATCTTACATGCTCACTATTAAATGCTGAGATGTTTTCTTATTAAATAAAACAGAAATAAAGTGACAATAATCACAAAAATTATAACATGAAATTACTTCTTTTGAAAGTTTCTAGAATTTTGATGGCTTTTGGATGCTATAAATATATCCCAAGAAATCAAAGTCTGCTTGATTTAAGAAGAATCATGGTATCTGATCTAAAGCTTTTTTGTAGGTATGATAAATTTTAACTCAATGAAGATTTATTGTTGCTGATTTTTAATACATATTTACAGAAAGGAAGGTAGTACATAGGAGAATTTGGAAGTGTGTCAGGATTAGATATCAAAATGTAGTTTCTTATTTCAAATAGAATACTCTATGTAAGACCTTTCTCCCCAACTCATAGTTTGGACTTCCATGAATTTAATGCAAAACTCTATTCAGTTTTGTGGTTATTTTTCAATTAAGTGCAAATCAATTTGTTTTGATCACATATAATTCAATAAGTATGACTGAAATGATGATTCTTCTGAAGATTAACTTTTCTTACATCTATTTTATTTTCTTATAAGTTTGGATTGTAGATAAATGTTATTCAAAATGTTCTGGAGAATAAACCTCAGAAACCACAGTATTTTAAAATACTGAAGAATTTTATCCTTAAATAATATTATAGATCATAAGGCAGGCTTATTATCAGTATATCTCAGAAAATTTGCTCTATGTATTTCACCTAATAGCTATAGTAATGTTTTGGTGTATTTTAAGATTAACACAATAATCAGATTTGTGTATTTGCTACAGATAAATGACAGTGTGACTACGTATAGCTTTTAGATCAACTTCAAAACAATGTATGCGTGCAAAAATGTGACAAGAGTACTGATAAGTAAAATTTTGATTATATAAAAATTAGCATTTCTTAACCTCTATGATGATAGTAACCATCATCCTAAAAATTTAAGTCATTCCTGTCAACAGTAGTATTTAAGTTAATGACTCCAAAGCTAGTTTACTCTCTTTTTCACACTGGTCTAATGCTCAAAAAAAAAAAAAAAAAAAAAAATTGTTGCATGCTTTGCTGATAAGTATGCATATTTTATTTGAAGAATATTTGCTGATATAATTCTTTGGCTAATCCTTGATTGTTAGAAGTGCTAGAGCAATGTGATACTACTCATGAATTCTGTTTGATGTAAATAGTGTTTCATTTTGGATTAGGTCTATTTGAGACATATTCCTCTGCATCCACAGTGGCTATGTAGAACAAATAAGAGTTTTCATGCTATGTGGTTATCTCTGATTATTTCAGCTTACCATTCTTCCTATTAAACAAGTAGATTTAGAATAAATCAGATAGCTTTATAATAGCTGATTGTGCATATATTTTGCAGGTAAAACATGTAAATTAGGGAGGAGAAAGCATGTTCTAATTTGAGTAGGAAGCCATCAACTCTAAGTGCTTGTTTTCAATTAGATGACTACTGAGTTTTTTCTAACCACATATGCTTATCATATTGATTCAAAAAGTGTATACATATTTTTTCTATAGGTAACAGCTGAGGTGAATTTATAAATGTAGCTCAACTGACTGTTGTTACAAAAGGCAAAAATTCTTATCACTTAGTATAATGAAATTAATGACATGAACAAGGTGTGAAGATAATGGTGATTTGTAATGTCTCCAACTAGGTATCAATGTCTTCATTTAGTACATTCTAAAATATATACAGCAAGCTAAAAAATGAGATTGTTGGACATGCTCTGTTGATGAAAAAACGCACTTCAGAAAAATAACACATTATTTAAAATATTTTGGAATTTACAGCTTTCTCTTTCTCTCTTGTTCTGAATATTTTTTTACTCTAGCACGCTTTGTAATGAGGTAGTACCCTCAGGACTTGACTCTGCCTTTAGATACACAATGTTGCCGGAAAATGGAATAATTGCTTCCAGTTAAGACTTTGCAAATTAAAATACTTTCTTAACTATAGTGTTACCATAGACTAAAAATTGTGATCTCTTAATCATGGCAGAATAACAAATAACTTTGGTAGGTGGCACGATGCTATGGATAGAAAAAGTAAAAGGAATTAGAAGATGCTGGTTTAGGATAATACATATAGTCTATGACACTGGCCAGATTAACTTTTCTAGGAAATTACCATGATCATAATGGAAGGTGATACTATATTATTTGTCAGTGTCCTTCCAACTTTAAGTTGTTGTTACTATATACCTTTGTTTTCTATAATAGCCTGGGCATCCCACAGTGAATGTGGTTTGACTATGGGAAGTTAAAATTAGTTTAGTTGCAGTACCAAGTAAGTCAATTAGGTTTAAATAATTGTAAAGAAAATATGGAAAATAAATGTTTTTTTCTAACATTAGTAGTTTTATAAATGTATCAACACTAAATTAACAGTAGTAAATGTCATCAATTTGAACACATTTCTACATGTTTATTAGTCCTTTCCCATCGTATTTACCTTAAATCTTGAATTATATTGAACTCATCAAAGGGAATTGGCATCTATTTTTGTACATATAGAGTATCTTTCTTCATGAGGGAATCATCAGTGATGCTGAGTACTTATGACTGGCCATATATAACTTCTAAATTCAAGTCCTAAAAATGTCAGTGATGATTTTCGTGATCTAGGTACATTTTTTTTTCTAAAGGCTGGAAATTAGGGGAGAGAGTGAAATTGTAAAGGAGTAATTTAAGTAGAGCAGTTTACAGTTTCTTTTTTTACTCTTTAAATAAAGTAAAATACACATAAAAAAGGAGACAAATTTAAAAACATATAAGCAGATGTTTCCACAAATCAGCTCATTTCTCATACCCTGACATGTGGATAGCTTGTACTTACTAACTCCAATTCTGACTGTGGCCATACAGGTAATTGACTCATAGTGCCCTTAAGCATAATTGAGGTTTATATTACAAATCCAATGACTAATTTTCTCATATTTTATTACATAAAATTCCATTAATATTTTGGTAAGGATCCAACCTTCCCAGAAGAATACAAATACTAGACATAACAGAAAATATTAAAAATGTACACTATCTCATATATGTCATTTTTAAATGACTTAGAAGAACAGGAGAACTAATACCTTTCTCTTCATGTTCTTCTTTGTTGTTGTTTGATTTTAGATGTGAGGGATTCTTTTTTCAAAACAAGGCTGTCAGTGATGGGAAGGACTGATTAATCCATGTATTTGTACTGGGTTAATTACATAAGGGTTATCTTGTTAATTTGTGATTGACTTTGTAAGTGCAATCAACCAGTGTTTATTAGCCACAAGACAAATTAATTATGCAGTGGTCCTATTTTCATCATATTTCTAAACTGTCCATCAAGAATTAAAGGATTTTGTGGGGTTATTACTTTTGAAGCAAATGAGAAGTTTCTGTTTTTCAAATAAACTGATGCCATGTCCACACAACTGCTTATTGTGTCCTGCTATTATTGCTTCCAAAAGTGAGAAGGAGAGATTGAAAAAACCTCAGCTCCTGGAAAATTCCAGTACAAACGACACTAATACTTCTTTTTCATCTATTTGTTATATTAAATATAGACTATCTCATGTTCCTCTTCTCTAGGATTTCAAGTTACTGTGCTACCATAGTGATACGAGAAAACAATTTCTTCAACATGACTTTCAAACGATTCCTCTTATTTTCAAACCCAAACCTTTTCTCACTGCTGATAACAACTTGAAGCTTTGTGTTGGAATAAAATAAACGTTCGGGTCAGATAGATTTAAGTATATACTTCTGCACTGCCATTTTCAGAGTAGGTGACTTATGGCAAACAATAACCTCTCAATTTTAATTTCCTCTTTTGTAAATGTAGAATTATGATACCTATTTTCAAACATTACTGTGAAGGTCTCATTAGATAATATTAAGGGTCCTTGGGAATACTGTACCACTAAATATATGTCCACAAATTTAATATCACTCTCATTCCTATTGTTAAGTAATATAATTTTTCATCTTGAATTCACTCCACCATTCGCTTCTAAACAAGCATTCAGACACCTAACAGTCACTCAAATGGCACAGCACAACAACCAAACCGGCATCGAGAGACAAGTCTCTAAATGAGAAGTCCACAAAATCCACAGATTAAATTCCATTAAAGAGTCATAAAACCACTCACATGTCATATGTGTACAATGAGGTAACTGATTAGAAGCAGGAAGTGCTGATAAGGAAAAATAACTGGTGGTAGTAAACACACACACACACACACACACACACACACACACACACACACGGGTCGGGAATGGGAAGAACTCAAGAATGCACAGAGATTTGATATCTTCCCTGGAGAGATAAACAGACCCAGGAGATGGTATAAACTATACCATGCTATAAACTACATGCTATAAGCTACAATATACAGCAACGTACACATTGTAGGATAAAATAAGTCAGTGAAAGTTTCAGAGATTTTCCGGATTGTAACAAAGGGTGTTTCTTAGCAGCTGGTGACAAATTGCCTGGAAGAAATTATGGAAACCTTTTAAACTAGAGGACTTTTATCTCTATGCAATAGAGAGACGTTGTAAATTTTATGTCAGGTAATATGGCAGAAAGCCAGTAATATTAAATTCTCATAGTGCAATAATTAAGGCCATTCACCAGCATGGTAAGAGTGGAGATTGACACTGAGGGATAGGTATGGAAGTTAGCTAGAGAGACATGATGGACAAAGTTGATTTAGGTCACAAAGGATATTTAATCATGTTATGGACTGGGAGTTTGAAAACAGTAATACACAAAAACTAAGAAAATAGGATCTGAGCTAGTTTAGAGGAGTAAAATGTTAACTTTGGTTTGGACTGGTAAGATCTTTGGATAAGTTTCAGTAGAAATGTTTATCAACTAAATCTTGGAAAACTATGGGTGAATTAATTCATGTATGAAGTTCCCTGAGTACTGTATTATGTAAGATAGAAAAACGCTGGAAAGATATACTCAAATGTTATTTTTCTTTCACATATTCCCTTGATTAAATGTCATTTTTAAATTGAGGTGGTTAACCAGATGAACTGTCTAGGTAGCTAATTAACATTTTAAATATGTTTGGTTCAAATTTAGGAATGATTGGAAGTGAATAAGCTATGATTAGTTATTATTTCAAGATTCTCACCAAAATCTTGGTTCTTTTAGGGACAGTGATGATATATATATAAAGCATCTGTGACACTCTAAGAGTACTTCTCTAGATGACTTTTTGACATTTAATAATCGGAATTTAATATTGAGCCTGAATATCTTGTGCATGTGTGGATGATATAAATTGATATTTATTATGTATTTAGATATACAAAATAGATAACATGATTTACATATCCTAAATTCTCACACAATTCTCACATACAAAAGCAAATCAACGTATAGCAACAAGTGATAAAATTGATGAGAGCAAAGCAGAGGAGGTAATTGTAAATGTGGCTTTGAGTGAATCATAGACATCTGGGTAGGCTTTATATTTTATATAATATTCCAAAATGGCTCAACATGATTTCATAAATATGTTTCCAGGTGAATAATAAGAGAAAATTCATTTTAGAGGTGGAGACAATAGCTTAAGCCATTTTAGAGAGGGAGAAAGTAGTTTCTAAAATAGAAACAAAAGAATTAATATTCTGAAATTAAAGTTGATTGTCTAATAAAAAATCAGTCTGTGTATCTGATAGGAATTGCATTTACCTTCTATTAATAACAATCAGAAAAAATAGGAACTTAATCTATACTAATTGACTTCTCTCTTTGGTAAAAGAGGTCCAGAGATAGGCATTCTGGATCTGGTATAACAGCTCCTTGTTTATCGGGGACATACATCCTATTCTAATTTTGCTCCAGCATCCTTAGTCCAGGTTTCCACTTTCAAATTTGCCTAATTATCCTTCTAGATTCTAAGTAGGAAAGCAAGAAGTGTGGGGAAATAAAGAAATATACAGATGTCCTTTTGCCACTTTTCTATGGAGGAATCTTATTCAAGATTCTCACACAATACATCCTGTTTTCAACATATTAGCAAACTTTGAACGGCCATGTCAACCTGTAGTGTACATTGGGAAAAACCTTTTAAAGCTGTTCACAATGTTACCTGAATACAATGAGAGTTGTTTCCTGAGGAAAAAATAGAAGAGCTGACTTTGGGCAGGATACTAGGAGTTTTCACCATGCATTTTCTGGAAATCATGATTAATCCCGGTAACAGGTGAAAATATATATGGGAACATATGCAGGTGTCATTAGATGTGATGGAAGGGAATAGGGAAGGATCGTGAAGGGATGTAAATCACATTTGGTTTCACTCAGTGGTCGATGCACTGTTTTCAGTTAGGGGGTTGTTGGTGTGATGGTAATATGACACCATCGCTGGCTTGGTCAGCTCTCCTTTACAGATAGTATAGATATACTTCCTATACAGGTAGTATGGAGACTGCAATCACTTACCATATGATTTCTTTGATAACTATTGGTAGTAGCTAAAGTTTGCTGAATGATTTGAGGAAGAAGGCTATTAAGTGTCTAGAAATCATGCTGTAGGGCTTATTTTTTATTAAAATTTTTCATTTAAAAATTCTGTAGATGGGCGCCTGGGTGGCTCAGTCAGTTGAGCGTCCGACTTCGCTCAGGTCACGATCTCACGGTCCGTGAGTTCGAGCCCTGCGTCGGGCTCTGGGCTGACAGCTCAGAGCCTGGAGCCTGCTTCAGATTCTGTGTCTCCCTCTCTCTCTGGCCCTCCCCCCGTTCATGCTCTGTCTCTCTCTGTCTCAAAAATAAATAAATGTTTAAAAAAAATTCTGTAGATAATAAAAAATGGAGTTACAAACCAAGATTATAATACTGGCTTCATAATTTTCCCGTGTATTTACCTTTACTGGAGATTTTTATCATTATCATATGATGTAAGTTACTATCTAGTGTTCTTTCATTTGTATCTGAAGGACTTTGTTTAGTATTCTTTTTTTTAATTCAAATTTTTGTTTAAATTCTAGTTAGTTACCAAATAATGTAATATTGGCTTCAGGAGTAGAATTTCCTGATTCATCACTTACGTGTAACACCCAGTGCTCATCCCAAAAAGTGCCTTCTTAATACCCGTCACCTCTTTAGCCTGTTCTGCCTCCAGGAACTCTCAGTTTGTTCTTTATAGGTAGAGTTTATGGTGTGCTTTTCTCTCTTATTTTTTCCTTCCCATATGTTCATCTGCTTTTTTTCCCTTAAGTTCCACATATGAGTGAAATCGTATGATATTTGTCTTTCTCTGACTGACTTACATCTTTTAGCATAATACACTCTAGCTCCATCCATGACATTGCAGAAGGCAAGATTTCATTATTTATGATGGCTGAGTAATATCCCATTGTGGGTATAAGTATGTATATATATATGTATATATATATACACAAGGATCAGCTCCTTGTGTATATATGTATATCCTTGTGTATATACATACATATATATACATACACCTCATCTTCTTTATCTGTTTATCAGTTGATAGACATTTGGGCTCTTTCCATAGTTTGGCTATTATTAATAATGCTGCTATAAACATCAGGGTGCATGTGCCCCTTTGAATTAGTATTTTGTGTCCTTTGGGTAAATGTCTACTAGTTCAATTGCTGGGTCACAGCATAGTTCTATTTTTAACTTTTTGAGGAAACTCCATACTGTTTTCCAGAATGGCTGCACCAGTGTGCATTCCCAACAATAGTGTAAGAAGTTTCCCCTTTTTCCACATCCTCACCAACATCTGTTGTTTCCCGTGTTGTTAATTTTAGCCATTCTGACAGGTTGAGGTGGTATCTCATCATGCTTTTGATTTGTATTTCCCTGATGATGAGTGATGTTGAGCATCTTTTCATGTGTCTGTTAGCCATCTGGATGTCTTTTTGGGAAAATGTCTATTCATGTCTTCTGCCCATTTAACTGTATTATTTGCCTTTGGGGGGTTGAGTTTGATAAATTCTTTACAATTTTTTTATACTATCCCTCTATCAGATATGTCATTTGTAAATATCTTCTCCCATTCCATAGGCTGCCTTTCAGCTTTGTTGTTTTCTTGGCTGTGTGGAAGCATTTTATCTTGACGAAGTCTCAATAGTTCATGTTTGTTTTTGTTTCTCTTGCCTCCGGAGATGTATCTAGTAAGAATTTGCTAGCCAAGGTAAAAAAAGTTGCTGCCTGTGTTCTTCTCTAGGATTTTGATGGTTTCTTATCTCACATTTAGGTCTTTCATCCATTTTGAATTTATTTTGTGTATGGTGTAACAAAGTGGTTCAGTTTCAGTCTTCTGTATGTCCCTGTCCGGTTTTCCCAGCACCATTTGTTGAAGAGACTATCTTTTTTTCCTTTGAGTATTCTTTTCTGCTTAGTTGAATATTAGTTGACCACATAGCTGTGCTTTCATTAGCATTTTTTTTTAGGGTGGTGTAGCAGTATTCAACTCCTTTTGCTTTTGTTTACCAGGAGTGTCTTAATTTCTCCCTCATTTTATTTATTTTTATATTTTATATTCAAGTTTTACGGGCTTTCGTTATAAAGGAAGGTCTGAATGTTCCATATTCACTAACAGCCTGAAGACAACATTGAAAGGCTTTCAAAGTGACAGCACTATGAACTGTATTAGTAATATAATATATTTATAACTTATATATATAATCTTGTCAACACAATGCATAAAAGACATGCAGGAAGAGTCCTGGTTTTCACATTATGTTATATATTCAAGTAAGCTTAAAAATATATTCTCCCACTTTCTTTCTTTTTTAAAAAAATAAACTGTGGATTATAAATGACAATCTTTCGGGGCGCCTGGGTGGCGCAGTCGGTTGAGCGTCCGACTTCAGCCAGGTCACGATCTCGCGGTCCGTGAGTTCGAGCCCCGCGTCGGGCTCTGGGCTGATGGCTCAGAGCCTGGAGCCTGTTTCCGATTCTGTGTCTCCCTCTCTCTCTGCCCCTCCCCCGTTCATGCTCTGTCTCTTTCTGTCCCAAAAATAAATAAACGTTGAAAAAAAAAATTTTAAATGACAATCTTTCATCAAAATGTATAATATAACTCTTTGGTGTGCTTTGAATTCTTCCAAGAAAAACAAAGGATGATGTTTGAAAATAAATTAATTCAACTCTACAAATAATAGTGTTTACATACAAGTTATTAACAATGACAAAATTACATCAACAACTCACAGCACACAAAACAAATTTCTACAACCCCAGGGGATCAGGGTGTCTTCAGGATCTCGTAGGAAAATTAGTGTTCTTTAGTATATTTGTGTGTTGTTTATGATGGGCTGTATTTTGTATGAGAGGTGTTGCATGAACTGAAAATGAATGACTAAGAGTTATTGTCCTCGGTCCTTGACCTTTTTTACCATAGATTTGCAGTTCTGACAAAGGTCGCACATTCATCAGTATTTGGTGATCACTATAAAACTTTAAATATTTTAATATGTATAGCAACTCCCTCCCTTGTTTAATGTAAATCATACACTTCACACACAATGTCATTTTCTAATGGGATACAGTTCAGTGTGTTCAGTGCTCAGGTGGAAAAAAATACATGAAATGTAGTTCCAGGCATTGAAAAATGAAGACTTTAAAAGGTTGATACAACAATATAAAAGAGGGGTTGAAAAGACAGTTTTGCTGAATATAGAATTCTAAATTGACAGTTTTGTTTTAGTTTTTTTTCTTTTAGTCATTGAAATATGTCATCCACTGCTTTCTGCCTTCCAGTTTTCTGATGAGACATTGGTTAATAAATTTATGGGGATCTCTTTTATGTGATGAATTGCTTCTCTCCTGTGGCTTTCAAGATTCTCTGTCTTTGGGTTTCAACAGCTTGATAATAATGTGTCCCAGTATAGATCTCTATGTTTATCCTATTTGGAGTTAATTGACTTTCATTGATTTGTAAACTATCGTATTTCATCAGATTTAGGACTTTTTCAGCCATTGTTACTTCAAGTAATCTTTTCCCTTTGTCTCTATCTTCTCCTTCTGGTAATTTCACAATGCATTTTTTTTTCCCAGCAGGGAACTGATTTTAGTTCTAGAAACTCATGGAGACAAAGGGTTAGAAAAAGCAAGGTGAATTGAAGAGTCCCAGAGTGAGTTATAAAAACAAAAACCTGTAGATTGTTTGAAATACTGTAGCTAGAGCCATTGTCCATTCCTTCAAACTTCTCTACTCATTTTGTGAAATCCAAGATGTAACAAATCTCATCCCTCATCCTCCACTCCTGATACTACTTCCACAGATAGCCAAATAAATTAAGTGAATAAAGGAGATTCTACTCTAAATACATTATATTAATGGTATAAAATCATGGAGTAGCTTTTGTGAAAGCTGAAGGATTTTATGCCCCAGCTTATAAGGTCTCAAAGCATGACATCTAATCCATGTAAAGGAAAATTGGTTGAATAATTGTTTCCACCAATAGTTTTATATATATATATATATATATATATATATATATATAATTTTTTTTCAATTAGTTCCTATTTTTGATGGCAACCACTTTTCTGAAGTTCCAAGTATTTTGGTCCAGTATGACTGGTTACTTACTAAGGTAGCTACTCATCTGCCATTCTAGAATTGCTTTTTAGTGTTCTTTTAGGTTATTCCCTTAATTTGTACACCTTGTCTTCCTTTTTCTTAGTTTCTTGTCTTCTTTTAACAATGAAGATAAAAAATTATTTAAACTCAATTAGATTTATAAGAAAGTATGTGTTAGATGTGTATCTTCTGAACTTGTATGTGTTTGAAAACTC